GAGAAGTTACTTTTCATAGCCTACACAAATGTGCACAAGCAGCTACATGTGGCAGATTTGCCTAACACCATTTTAAGTCTTTACTTTTTATTTCAAGTTTTTGATGCTGGATAAACATGTTTTGCTTATATAAGATTTATCATTCTTCTGACTAATATCCAAGGACTTCCCAAAGTCACAGAATTAATTTTCCAGGAACATTCATTCATTCTCATACAAAAATCTTTCAACCGAGAAGTTGGATGAAGGCTTCTTCCCCTTCCCTTCCCTTCCTTTTCTCTTCCTCCATCTTTCTGTCCTTTCTTTCTGTTTTAAAGAGTGACCACTTTCCTTGGTAATGACTCCTTAACACCCACATCATTTGCTCCATCAGTATATCTACTGACTTTTTTTCTTCAATCTATATCCACAATCCAGACAGTTCTCATCATCTCCATCCACCATTATAGCTCTACTCTACATCAGCATCATCTCCATCCTATCTTATTGCAATGACTGTCTGACTACTCTTCTGGCTTTTAACCTTGCCCCAGGGTTATGTTCTCCTCACAGTAGTCAGTGTCCACTGAAAAATGTCACCTGTATCATACACTCCTTTAAGTCAATTGTTCTTTGATTGCCCGTCTCAGCGTGATGTCTATGTTCTTATCATCGTCCTCGGTATACTGCATTATCTGTGCTTGAACTCGCTCTCTGAACTCCTCTCCTCCTGTCCTCCTTTCCAGCCACCCCCTGTCCTTCCTGCTGTCTCTCAGACAGTCCAAGTATACTAAGACCTGTGCCTGAATGTTCTTGCTCCAGTTATCATGATTTGCTCCTTCACTTTCTTCAGGTTTCTACTCGATCATTCTGATGAGAGAGGTTTTTTCTGACCACCTTCTGTAAAATAGCACCTTTCATTTCATTCTCAATTACTTTTTCCTGCCTTAATTTTCTTTGTTGTACTTAACCTCCTGATATATATGTATTTTGTTGACTTGTTTATTTATTTTTCTACTAGAATGTAAACCGTATTATTTATTGCTGGGACTTTGACTTTGGTCAGCTCAGTATCCCCAGCATTTGGAATAGTGCCTCATCCCTAACACATGCTCAACTGCTTTTGGTTTAAGGGATAAATTTTGCTGTAATTCATGTTTTCTAGAAACTGGAAAAGACAGAGAATTGATTGTTCCCTAGAGATTCCAAATGGAATGCATTTCTGCCCACCCTCTGATTTTAGGACGTCTGGCCACCACAACTGTAGGAAAATATATTTGTGTTGTTCAAGACACTACATTTGTGATAGTTTGTTTCAACAGAAATAAAAAAAACTAATAAATTTCTGGAGCTATCTAAGATTCAACCTCATAATATTTTTTAACTGAGTACTTTAGGTATGTATGTATTGGAGTTGGCCTATGTGGTAGTCATTAGTATTATTCACTAAATATTTCTGGATTTCCTTTCGGGTATATGGCAGAATTGTTTGTTACTGCCCCCTTGAAGTTAGAAATGACCATGTGACTTTCTTAGGAAGATGACTAGTTAGTGGAAGTAACATATGTAACTTCTAGGTAATGTTTATAAGCCTTTGCAAATTTTTTCCTAATGCCATTTTTCTTGTTATTGTGAGTGTAGAATCTTGATGAGATATACTCTCCATGGGCCTTCTTTCCTGAGAAAAGAGTGAGCACATTCCCTTAGCTAACGCTAATGGACTTGTAGTGTGAATGAGAGATCATTTTGTGCAAACTGCTGAGATTTGGGCGTTATTTTGTCAAAATAGCAAAATTTAACCCAATGGTTCTCAAATGCTTTGATCTTAGGATCATTTTTCCACTCTTAAAATTCCTCAACATCCCAAAGAGTTCTTGTTTATGTGGGATTATCTATCAATATTTACCATGCTAGGAATTAAAATAGACATTTAAAAATAATTCACTTAATTAAAAATAACTAAAACAAACCCATTTTATGTGCACATAAAATACTTTAATAAAAACTGTATTTTCCAAAGCAAAAAATAGTTTTATGAAAAGAATATTTCTTTTATTTACATATTTGTAATTATTTTTAATAGTTGGCTTTATATGAGTCAACTGGATTCTCATATCTGCTTTCATTGCATCAGATTGTTGTTATTCTTGTGTTTGAAGTATATGGAAAATATTCAGCCTCATGTAGTTGTGGTTGTAATGGGAGAAGTATTTTAATGCCCTTTTCAGATAATTGTAGATACTCTTCTTTGATACTACACCAGAACTCTGTAAGCAGTATTTTCTTAAAGGTAAATTACAATGTGGAACTGAAATCATATTCACAAACTTCTCATACTGTTACATGAGATCCATTGGTCTCTCTTTTTCTATTATTAAAGTATAATTAACATACAGTGTTATACAGTTTCAGGTGTACAGTATAATGATTCAATAATTCTATACATTTCTCAGAGCTCAACTATAAAATTCCTAGAAGAAAACACAGGCAATAATTTCTTTGACAGGAGCCAAAGAAACATTTTTCTAGATATGCCTCCTCTGGCAAAGGAAACAAAATCAAATTTAAACTTTTGGGGCTACATCAAAATAAAAAATGTCTGCACAGCGAAGGAAACTATCAACAAAACAAAAAAGTAACCTAATAATTGGAAAAGGTATTTACAAATGACATATCTGATAATGGGTTAATATCCAAAATATATAAAGAGCTTATTCAACTCAACGCCAAAAAAAACCCCAAATAATCTAACTAAAAATGGACAGAATATCTGAATAGATATTTTTCCAAAGAAAACATAAAGATGGCCAACAAACACATAAAAAGATGCTCACCGTCACTAATCATTACAGAAATGCAAATCAAAACCATAATAAGATATCACTTTACACCTGTCAGAATGGCTAAAACCATTGATCTGTCTTACATTTTAAATGGACATATCCATGCTCTGTAAAGGCATCCACTGGTCATTTTAAAAACATTGACTCACTAAGTTTTGCAGATCTTCTAAATGTTAACACACATCATTACACAATATCAAAACCCAACTTTTAAAAAAAAATATTATTCTGAAGTTAATTAATATACAGTGTAGTTTTGGCTTCGGAAGTAGGATCCAGTGATTCATCACCTACATATAACACCCAGTGCTCATCCCAACAAGTGTCCTCCTTAATGCACATCACCCATTTTCCCCAACCACTCTCACCTCTCCATCCCCATCAAACCTCAGTTTGTTCTCTGTAATTAACAGTCTCTTATAGTTTGCCTCCCTCTCTGTTTTCATCTGTTTTTCCTACTCCAAACCCAACATTCTTTAGTAATCTTTAAAAAGATTTTATACATCGAGAAACTGTTAAGGCACTGTTGCCAGACACAAATTTTACGAAATTCTAGCATTCTTTTGAATATTCAAATTCTATTGTGTTTTGAGCATCAACATTTGTTTCCTGTGAAGTGGCAAAACTCACTTTGTCTATTTTCAAGAAATACTCAAGTCTGCAAAATACTCAAGCCTGAATAATTATAGTTTTTAGGTTAATTATTTTTTCAAATAAAAATGGTATAATGAGAGGAACAGGTAGTTCAACTTGCAACATAAACAGTATTTCCCAAAGATGACCATTATGGAGAGCAGCTTCTGACATGGCTCTTAATGGTCCCAGCCCTTTGGAAACCATGCTTTTGAATGTGGGCTGGAGCTGGTGACTTACTTCTAACAGAATGTGACAAAAGTGAAGAGGTGTCACTTCTGTGACTGGATTATAAAAGACTGATTTCCATCTTGCTGGATTTCTCTCTTTGGCTCTTCTCAAGTGTTTTCCCACATGGAGAGGGGAGTGGAGAATGTCCTTCAGCCAATAACCACAAGGAACTGAGGGCCTCAGTCCAAATGCATCAAGTAACTGAATCCTGCTAGCAATCACATGGATAAGGTTGGAAATGGATCCCTCTCCAGTTAGACCTTGACAGGCATGTGATCCCAAGTGGCACCTTGATGGCAGCCTTGTTAGAAACTTGAGCCAGAGGACCCAGCTAAGCAGTACATGAATTCCTAACCCATGGATACTGAGATAATAAACCTATGTTGTTTTAAGCTGCTAGGTTTTAGGGTAATTTATTATGGAAATCGATCACTAATGCAACTCTCTACTTCATTATATAGATGTACTTTATATATATGTTTAATTGTTCTCACACAGAATATTAAGGTGTGCCCTTAAGTTCCAAAATTTAATAAAATTATGAATTTTTGCTAATTCATCAAAGATATTCTTAGGTAAAATTGAAATTTTAGTGCATGGTGATGAAATATACAAAATCTGCTAGCACAGCTTAGTTCTACTGCCTCAATTTGTTCTAAGAAGCCAGTAATGTTACCCACCATTGTATTTGTACCATCAGTGCACATGTGAACATAGCAAAAGACCTGCCAACACAGTGAAAAAAGATAAATAATATATTAATTGCTTTGATTTCACAGAGTGCCTGAAAGTTTTCCTGCTCCCCCAACCTCAGGGGATATGAGGATTATATTTCAGAGCTGCTAATATATACTATCCCAATTATCATGTCAGATAAATTGTTAACTTGCCATCCTTCACCTATAAGGATGTTAATTACAACATAGTAAAGCTGCCTAAGGAAAGGCAATGCAAAATTCTCTTCATTTAAAAAATAAAAGTCATTTTTATAAGGTTTTAAAATTTGGCCTATGGAGGACATGTATAGGTTTGACTCTGCTTATGAATTCAGGACTGATGAAACATTGCTTCACACCCATGTATAACTATCTATCTAGGATTATATATGTCAAGGAAACGGTGTTGATTCTCAGTGTTACTTGCTGCTGCTGATATTGGCACCTTATCTCTTAATCATTAAGAAAGGGATTGTTAATATGTTTTTGTATATATATTTGTAGGTGTGTATGTGTTTGTATGAGTTCTATAAGTAGGAATCTGGTACAGCTTAAATAAGCTGTGTATTACAACTATTTCCAAGTACATATTTCATACTCGCTTTGGCAGCACATATACTAAAATTGAAACAATGCATAGAAGATTAACATGGCCCCTGTGCAAAGATGACATGCAAACCCTACTACATATTTCCTTTGTATCTTATTATTACTCACACTGGTAATGTAATTGACAGTACTTCTTTATGATAGAGGATTTAGAAAATAAATATGCATAAATGAAAAGTTATGCATTATCTTTCTACTAAGATAAAATCATGGCTAGCTGTTTTGTGTGTTTTCTTTCTTTTCATGCATTTAAATTCATATGGGTAATATTTTAAATTTTCCTTAACAATATTAATGGGCAATTTCAACTCTAGAACTTGCTTTCAAACTTCTGCTTGTATTTGTAGATAAATTAAACACCAAACTGCATTGATTTCACTGTGAAGAATCATGACTTCACATCACAAAGGCAGAGTACTCAATTATCTAAAGTATTTTTGAAAAATTAAAGCTTTTTCACTGTAGGTTAAATTTATTTATACTGTTAAACATGCTATATAAATTAATAAAAACATATTTTATTGATCTACCATTTACATTTTATCCTGTATATTTTATAGGATATGTTTATATATGCAAATATATACAAATTATAAACCAAAGGAAAACCACAATAAGAAACACACCAGAATTATCTTGTGTTTTTAAATAATGGGGGTTATATTTCAAGCTCCTGAAGATTGATTTTGTTTTATTAAACATGGATCCCCAGATGTTACAAGGCAGTCAGCACTGGTTTAAAATGCAGGTGGTATTCCCTTTTGCATCCTACTTTAGAGCATGTCACAGTAGATTAACTTATCTCAGAGCTCTACACAACTGATCCCTTTCACTGTGGCTGAGCTGATGCTTTGCAGCTGATTGACACATTATGGCCAAAATTAATACACTAGCCAGATCACTGATAGGCTGTTATAATGAGATCTCTCATTATTTCCCCACCTTGATATCTTCCAAAGAATCAATAAAACTTACTAAATATACAATGGGAAAATCTGAACATAGGTATATGTTCTCTATGGCCGGCTACTGCTCATCTCTTTTTCACACTTATACCTATTGATTTCAAGATGAAATTATTAAATAAAAATGCTCTTAAATGGTACAGATACAGCATGTTCTTTGCAGACTTCTATATTTCAGGGGTCAGAGAAGTGTCACTATATATACATATATTTATAACTGTTTTATATTTAATGGCCAGGGATTCCTACTATTAAATGCTGGGTTCTAGGCTATTACTACCCTCATTTATTATTTATAAAGCTCTGTCAGCGTACATGGTTTTTAATGTTAGATGAAATCGTGCCAGACAAATTCCCCTCCCTGAGGAGCCTACAAGCTGAAAACAGGAGGAGAACGATGCAGGAGAGAAATTGTGGGAAGGACAGAGAGTGATTAAGGGTTGTAAACTTGGCATTGCTTTGCGCAGTAGGTGGATGACAAGGAGAACTTGAACGCTGAGAAATGATTCTAAGACTGGGAAGCCATTCAATAAAATAAAAACAATAACTAGAAGCAAGGAAAGACATCATACAAGGGGAATCTCAGCCCTCTCAGTGAGAACTCTACATCTTCAGCTCTGACATTTCTTCATACACTGTGTACACCTGGTGTCTCAGCACCGCCTCTTACTCATTGTGTTCTAAACCAGTGGGTCTCAAATTTGAACATCATCAGAATCATGGGCAAGTGGGTAGGGTTGTTAAAACACAGACTACTGGATCACATGTCAGTCCAAGTATCTGAATCAGTGAGTCTGGGGTCTTGAATTTGCATTTCTAACAAATTCACAGGAATTGCTATGGAACTACCCTTTGAGAACTCCTTCCTAAACTAATATCTCCAAATCCTCCAAATCTAGTTCTCCAAACCGCAGCTTGGAGTCATCTCTAATTCTTACCTTATAGTTAGACAATTCCCCAGATATGTCTCTGCTTTCCTAAGAATTTCCTTCAGATTTGTGTTAGCTTTGAACTGACAGGTACCAGTCTAATCAGATACTACTACCATCCCTAGCACTACTGCTGGCAACAACGGAAACTACAATCAATACTACTAATTACTTTGAACACCTACTGTATGCAAGACAATATACTAACCACCTTAAATATGTTATGTCATTAAATGATGCTACTAGATCATCCATACTATCCCTATTTCCAAGGGAAGAAGTTCATTTGCAATAAGATGAATTCACTTGCAGTGAGTACTACAGAAAGGATACAAATAGCACCAAATCCCATGTCTTTATGTCTGTCTAGTATTCAGACCCTACCTGGAAGGCCACCTCTTTCATGCAGTCCCTCATGTATGATTAGGCCAGTGCAATAGTGAGCCCACTCCCTACTCTCAACTATTAATATCTACTCTATATTACAAAGACTTAGTATATGATGTGGTGGCATTAGCAATCAGTACAGAAGGGATAGATTAATTAAGAAACATCACTGGGACAATCAAATGCTTGTATGACACAATACACAAATAAATAGCAGATGGAGAATAAAATTCTCAATGTGAAAAATAAAACTGAAAATTTTTCAATAAAAAGTTATTTGCAGTGAATTTGAACAATGAAGGGTTGAAGAAATATATAATTAATTCTGTCAAATCTTCATGATTCACAAAAGAGGAAAAACAGATGGCTAATATGTTTAAGAAAATATGGTCAGAATTCAAAAATAGTAAGGGAAATTAACATTGTATATCAGCACAATATAAGTCCATACATATCAGATTAGTATGTCTGACCATTTGCAGAGATTTGAGTCCCTGGGAATCCCTTGGTGTGCTAGTTGATGTGTAACTGAGTTCAATTACTTTGGAGAGAAGTTTGAGATATCTACCAAAATTGTAGATATCTACCTACAACTTATTAATTCTACTTCTAGATGTATACTCTAAAATATCTCTTCAACAGGCACACAAGGATGTATGTGCCAGGATGTCTACAACAACATTGTTTGAATAGGAAAACACTAAGAACAAGCCATATGTTCTTAATAGGTTATTGGATAATTAGTTTTTGTGGTCTGTTTATACAAAAACATACTTATTCCATTTAAACAGGTAAATAAATCTATATGCATTATAATGGATCCATCTCATAAGCAGAATGTTGAATAAAATTAGTAAATCACAATATGTACAAAAATATTATTTTTTAAACTTACAACACACAGGAATCCTACATATTGGTTGTGAATACAAACATAAGAGTTAAAGTAAATATATGAACAAGAAGAATATATGCCAGTTTCAGGATGATAGTAACCCCTGGAGAAGGGGGAGGAAAAAGGGATGTGGGTTGGCCTTAACTGTATAAATGATCTTTTGTTTATTACTTGGATTTAAAAATCTGAACCAAATAGGCAAAATGCTAATGCTTGTTAAATTAATGTGGCAAACAGTTGTGTTATTTTTTTATCTTCCTATAAAATTTTCATGATCAAAAAGGGAGCATTTTAACAAAGACTTCCATTGTGAAAGAAATTTTGAATACTCTAGCTTAGTCAAAATACAACCATTTTCTTTGCTCCGAAACTTTTCTGTCATTAATATGCTAATGGACATTGTGCTAATGAACATTACCAAGAGGGTAATGTCTTATGAAATAATTCCCAAACTTACTTGAATGTAGCAGCTTTTTTTAAAATAAAACATCTTTTAACACCTCAAGGATCTTTTGGGAAATGCTGTTATACATCATAGCACTTAACTTTCTTTAATTGTTTCATGTAATTTAACTTGATTTCTCGATTATAGTCTCCATCTCCTTGATATTAGGACCTGTCTTACTCCTTTTAGCTAGACATGTCATGGACATATATATACTTTGATAGCTTGTTTGATTTTTTTGAGAAATTATGGTGCAAACCATTAAACTCAGGGTAGGTTTCAGGGAGGGAGGAAGTAGTGAAAGTAATCCTTATACACGATTTTATATGGAAATAAAAAGCAAAACTCAAGAACACGAAGATCAACACAAGGGTAACAGTAGTTTTCAAACAAATGGAATATATTGATGACAAAACATTGCTAGAACTAATTACTGGTAAAGTCTTTCTTTATTTATTCATTAACATCACTCAACAGGTATTTACACAATATCTGAAGAGAAATGGTAGCTTCATAACATATAAGAAGCATACACAATCCAATGCATAAGATTTCTCAGAATTAAACCATGAATGATTTCTCAGAGTAAAATCACTCAACTCTTTTGAAATTACACTGAGCATAAATCTATTCACAATTTTATTAAAGAATGAATTTATATAAAGAATTGTAAATATAGGTTTATCTCCCTGGTTAACAAGGGTATAATTTTGGTACAACAATAAATACAATTGATTAAGCAAAAATTGGTTGACTTACACTTTATTTTTCATTGCCCACACTAAGGTACTGTTAGCCAAGTTAAATATCAGAAATTTAACTGTATTTCCCCTACTTGCATACTTTTGATAATTTACAAATGTATTAAATACAGATGTTGAATGGAAATAACAAAATTTTAAAGTACATATGTAAGATCTGGTACCAAGAGTTAGTAAGTTGACCCTTGTCCATTTGAGTATTTTAGAAAAATAGATTCTCTTTTCATAACCATTACCATTTATACTCTTTTAATATTTGGTAAAATTCTGCTACTATTTGCTTAAAGATAAAATACCTGAATCTCATTCTTTTTGAATTTTGCATTTTATTGTAATTCTTATAGCTCTTTAAAAATTGTTTTATATAAAGGAAATTTTTTTGCCCTTTGCAGAAACTGAATGCATATCCAGTAAAATCTCATGTGAAGCATAATTCAATACCTTGAATATTATTTAGGTTAATTTAGAATTCTGATTTTTCCTAAGAGAAATTCACATCAATACTAAGAAAGTAATCTGTGTTTTCAGACTTATGGTGTTGGAATCTAATGTTGAAAACAGTTTTTAAGTAGTTTTAAAGTAGTTTTACTAAAAAATATCTGGAAGTACCTAAAAGTTTTTAGAGATGTGATTTTTCATATGTTTTGTTATTTTAATCTTAGAAATACAGTTATATAAATAGTAAATGTATATCTTCTCTAATTTTATTAC